GCCTGCAGTGCTGCACTCTAACCACTGTGCCACCTCGGCTCTTTGGGGGAATGGAAGGATGATGGGGGAATGGAAGGATTTATACTCCTTGCGGATAGCTGGTCCTTTGGGTCCTTTTCGAGAGCCATTAAGGCTACCTGGAGGACACAGATAAAACTCCAGTTGCTTCCATGACCCTCTAAAGGTCCCACCGGCTCCCACCGTGGGGCCAATCTGATTTTGAATGGGGGCAATTTGAACCTTGTTTCAACCAAGTTAATGGCCTTTTAGGCTTCCTCCGCAGGAGCAGAGTTCATTTTTTGAGTAAAGTTAAGAATTATATGTCACAGAGGAGGCACTAGGATTTTAGAGACGCTTAGGTGGGGCCTGGCCAAAAAAAGATTGGGAACCACTGGTCTAAAAGGACGCAAAGGACCAGCTGTCTGCAAGGAACATAAATCCTTCCATTCCCCACTGTCCTGTCAAAACTGAAGAAGGTTCTGGGATGAGAAGCGAAACGTCTTCAGAGAAAAAGACAAGGAGTTGCCTCCTGAAAAAAAAAATCACCTTTGGGACAACTGCGACCTGGAGGACTGAGAATCTCTACAGACCTAAAGGATTCTAAGTTGCCCAAGTTTTTTAGAATTATTAAAACAAAAGATAGGGATTATTATTATTATTATGTTTCTTTGGCAGAGCTGCTTTGCATCTAAGCCAGTGATGGCAAAACTTTTGGGCACCAAGTGCCCAAACCGGATATGTGCATGTGCCGGAAACCGAAGACCAGCTGGCTAGTGAGCATGCAAGCATCGGTTAGTTAGTCTTCACAAGTGCCGGAAACCTGAAGAGCAGCAGCTACGGCGTGCCTGTCCAAACGCGGCTCTTAAGCTTTCTGCTGGGATCATCTGACACCACGTTCCGTCAAGAGATCCATTCCCACCCTTTTAAAGGCCTGCTCTTAAAAGGGGGAGCTAGATTACTTTCTCTGGCGCGGTCTGATCCTGATTAAATCATCTGAAACAGACATCCACAACTCCCGGTCCACGGCCTGGCGGCGGGCTATGGCCTATCTGGAACCGGGCTGTGGAAGAGGTTGGGCGAATTCCTGTGTGCGCAGCTGCATTTGAAAAACCCCAACCTTTCTGGAGCAGCGGAGACTGTGACGGGCGTGGGGAAGAGGGGATGATTTCGCACACAGCGGCATTTGTGAAAGTGGGACATGCACGCCTGAAACCCTCCCTTCTTCTCCTCCTCCCCCCTGCTACTGTCGCCGCCACACGAAGGCGGAAAGGTTAGGGGAAGCTGATCTAAAGATCACCTGTTAATTTATACTGCGGTATTATTCAAATTCTGCCCTTTCCTTAATGGCTCCAGGAGAGTGTTTAGAACAGCAATTAGTACCAGGAGCTTCTCTGGAATATCACCTTTTCCACCAGCCAATGCTATTTTCTTGTCTTTTTTTTTCTTTTCCCCCCAACAAGGGTGAACCGGTCAAGAAAGACGGAAGCAAAATGAAAGTTTAAATTCCTTAGCAGATCATTCTTTCCAACATGCTACGTTTTCAAACCTAATTGAAAAGATAATATGACGATTCCACGCGGGGCCTAAATAATTTCCGCCGGGGTTAAAGGCGGTGCAGCTGCGTGCTCTCAGCTGTCACCCATGTCACGCAAGTGATCGCTTCTATTGAGAGAAAGGCAGCGGATTTTAGGCGGAAGGACGCGCTCCCCCATTTCTAGTTTTACAATGAAGCGGCAAATCCCGGTATTAGGAGTAACCGAGGACAATTCAGCCTTTGTTGATGTGGCTGGCAAACTACACTGCAGGTCGGAGATGAAATAGCCAATCCAGTTCCTCATGTATGCCCCGTGACTCACAACTAGGATGTTGGCTACCAGTCTTCCTCCTGCAGCTCCTTCGGAATTAGAATCGGATTTCGGTTCACCGTGGTGGTTTGGCAACGAAGTGGGAGGACTTCCTTCGGCCATTTCTGCATTTTCTTCTGTCCCTTGTTTTTCTAGACCTGCCTCCTGGATAACCAGACTGCAAAGGTATTCAAAGAAATCCTTGACACGGGCTTTTACCTTGAAGGGAGAGGGAAAAAAAAATCAGATGAGAAGCTTTGCAAATTTATATTTTGGTCAATGTGTATCGTACATGAACTGGGGATATGACATGGCAACAGGTCGGCCATTGGGGACTGGCTGGTATAGGACATGGTGACAAGGTCAGCCAATGAATAGGCATAGCAACTAAGTCAGCCAACTGGAAACTGAAATAGTATTTGCTGTGTGAGCAAACAAGGAGACAGCAAGGAGCCTGGGCGTGGCTTAGTACTATAGCTCGGAGTCTGTACTAAAACTAGAACTAGTTTCTGAGCTCTGAACTGAAACTGAAAACTGTTCTCTCCTCTGCTTGTGTGTTTGCTTGTGCTCTCTACCACATTGGAAGAACCAGCCATTGGTATTGTATATGACTTATGTGTTAATATGTATATAAGGGGACGTTAATGAATTCTGCTACATCAGTTACCTGTGCTTTCTGGATTTGATTTCTGCAACAAACTCTTGACAGGTTTTTTTATTAAGGTGAACCCTGAAATTTCTTTTCGCTCTGGGCTAACACGTCTCTCTCTCTGTCTTTCTCTCCGTCTCTCTTTCTGTGTGTCTCTCTCTCACTCAATCTCTTTCAATCTATCTGTCTCTCTCAATCTCTCTCTTTCTGTGTCTCTCTCTCAATCTCTCTCTCTGTCTGTCTGTCTCTCAATCTCTGTCTCTCTCAGTCTGTCTGCCTCTCTCTCTGCCTCTCTCTCTGCCTCTCTCAATCTCTCTCTGCCTCTCTCTCTGTCTCTCTCTGTGTGTGTCTCTCAGTCTCTATCTGTCTTTCTGTCTCTTTCTCTGTCTCTCTCTCTCCTCTCTCTGAATGGCTCCTCTGAACTTCCCACAAACGCGGCTTAATGACTCTGTTTTCCACATTTGTGGACGTAAACTTTTAACTTTCCAAGGCCTTGGTACATATTCATCCACTGTGAGCCCCTCAGCACTTCCTATTCTTGTTCTTCCATGAGGCAAGTTCTCCTCCCTCAACCTGTGATTAGAAGTGTCCACTGAGGACGGAGTAGAACCAAAGGATTAATTCTACTGTGAGAATTAATCCCAGTCTACTATAGTAATCAATGGTATCAAAGGCCTGAAAGAGATCTACAGAACCAAGTGAGGAGTAAAGGTAGCACCTTGATGAATAACCACATTAAGGCCAAAATTTATGTCACTAAGCAAGTTTTGCCTCACTTGATGGCCTTTTTTTGCTTGGATGAATGATCTTATGATTCTTGATGAATGTATTTTTTTTTCTTTTTAATGTACACTGAGAGCATCTGCACCAAAGACAAATTCCTTGTGTGNCATAAAGGAGGAGCAAATGGGACGTGAGCCTTTGCAGGAAGCAATTTTGTTCGTTCTGGTCAGTTTAAACTCTGAAGTTCTGTTTGACTCTTTGCTCCCTGTGTGGCCTTGCCAAGCGAATTGCCAATTAAGTCTTTGGCAGCGTTTCAAGGGAGATAAAGGTGGGTGGCTTATCAGCCTTACCCTGAAAGACTGTTTGGGAATCGTTATGGGCTTTGAATGAACATAATTCACAGCCGTTTAAATTAAAACAGGGTTTTGGGGAGTAAGAGTGTGGTTTTTATTGTCTCAGGAAGCCTAGGTCAAAACGGAGGAATGGAGTAAGACAGACGGACTCAGAACTATCTTGTCATCTCTGTCCCGTAGCAGCTGCTCCTTTGACCTGCTGTCGACTCATCGACAGTCCCAATATTGCAGATCATACACCCTCTCATGCTGCATAACTAAGCTCCATTTCATGCTGAATAAACTAAATTATTAATGTATCTTAAATAGAAAACTATCTTTAGATAAGATTTTTATACTCAACAGCATTTCATTAAAATAAATTTGTTTAAAAAAAAATCCGATTTCAATTTTTTAAAAATAATAATAATCTGATTTGATTTTTTAAAAAAAAATAATCATCCATTTTTATCCACCCCGTTTTGAAGTCACGCAGAAAACTGAGGGGGGCAGGGGAATCTGTTCTCTTGGTAGATGCCCCATCTGGGACAACACCAACCCAGGGAAACTTCAAAAGTGGTGCTTTGGAGCGTGTGAAAGCCCCCACGAAGCCCCCTTTTTCACACTGTGGAAGCCTGGAAGTCCTCTTTCGGGCCCCCCGTGGCTGCTTCCAGCTGTCTTCAGACATACATGGTACAGGCAGTCCTCGACTTGCGACCACAACTGAGCCCAACGTTTCTGTTGCTAAGTGAGACAGTTGCCCAATTTTATGACCTTCCTCGCCACAGCTCTTAAGCGAATCGCTGCAGTTGTTAAGTTAGTCGCTTCCCCATGAACTCCGCTGGTAGGAAGGTCGCAGAAGTTGATCACGTGACCCTCCGGACAGTTGCAACCGTCCTAAATACATGCCAGTTGCCAAGCACTGAATTTTGATCACATGACCGTGGGAATGCTGCAACAGTCGTTAAGTGTGAAAAAATGGTCACAATAATTTTTCCCCCAAGTGCCTTTTGTAATTTTAAATGAACTGTCGCATGTCGAGGACTACCTGTATTAACTGGACAAAACCAGTATTTAATATCCAAATAAAAGCAAAGGGCTCCGTGATTTAATAACCACCAGGAGAGACAAACCTTGCATTATCTTCTCCTTGTTGTATCTCGTTTGTCCACTGTGGGGGAAAAACAAACAAACAGAAACCAACAACTTAAAACAGGAGAAAAACCAATCCTGGCTGAGAACTTTTAGCCAGGAATTTGTAACGTTACTCGGCCCTTACATCACTGACTCAGTTATCCCAGTCTTTCCCTGCTAACGAAACGCACATTTTTGTTACACGCACAGACACCAAGGTTGCTAGTGGGGATGCTTACTGTGTAACGAAGAGGCACTGGCGCATGTTCCCTGCCCTCTCTTGAGGCCCAGGCATCGCTCCAGGAATCTACCAATGACTCCTTAACCCTGACTTCATCGCAGGGATGCACGTCACTAAAATGACCGGGAGAATTGTGAGAGATTAAGCAGCGAAAACCTCATCATTTTCCTAGCTGGAAAGATTGGCTTGAATCTGTTATTTGGGTTAGATGCAGTGTTAAATGATCAGTGAGGGAGTGTTATGTGATCAAGGGGGAAAACTGGAATTACCAAGGCCTGCCAGCACCAATGCCAACCAACCAATGGAACAGAAGTTGCCTTCAGAAGTTGTGGGAGCTTCATCCCTGGAGGCTTTCAAGAAGAGACTGGACTGCCATTTGTCAGAAATGATGTAGAGTTTGGGGGACGGGAGGGTTGGACTAGATGCCCTACAAGGTCCCTTCCAACTTCTATTCTATTCTATTCTATTCGTCATTAATACTAATGAAAAGCAGATTATGTTTATTAAGAAGACTGATGTATAAATGTATAGAGCTATAAACAAGAAAACAGACAACCCAATTAAAGCAATCAATACTGAATTTAACAATATGCACAGACAATTTCATTAGAGAAGAGGAAGCAACCCAGGTTAACTCTGGCTGAGAAACACCTACTTAGCTCTTAATGTTAATTATTCCTGTTTTTCTCCATCAGAATTCCATAGATTGAAGAGTTGGTCAGTAGCTAACCATTTGCTTATACAGTTGAAATCAAAATTTCAGATTAAGTCTGGATTTTTTTTTCTTGTGCTTCACTAAACAATTTGGTACAACAGTCAAAATAATCAATGGCCCAAGCAAAGTAAGAGTTGTGCAATGTTCACATCAAATTGTAACGCTTAGTTTAGAAAACGCTCTTAATGCTTGAGAGAGAAAAAAATCACAACTGTCCTTTTCGTTTCACTGCTGTTGGATTTAAAAATCCGCAATTACAAGAACATGATTTTGAAGATCTTTTAACACATTAGAATTCTCCTCAGCCTTGCGAGATGCTAGCTTTGGAAGGAAGTTTACTGCTTTCAATATAAGACCCTATAAACTATTTTTTTTTATTGTTGGCAGTCTCTGCAGTATTCAGCAGCATTTCTACATAATTATGGAAAATAAGCAAAACTGCATTCTGGAACAGCAGTTTCTCATATTTTTGAGTTAACAACTAGAAAAGCCAAATGAAGTGCTTACTATGCTTGAGGGGAAGAAAATGCCAAAGATTTTGGTCCAATAGTTTTTATTAGCATCACTGTGTGCTTTTAGAGGCCATTATTCACACTTTAAAGGTTGTTTGCTCTTAAAAGAGACATAATGAAATCCTAACATAGACTTGGAGCGAATGCAGGATCTGCAACCTCTATTTCAATCTTCAGGTTTCGCTTTATAATATACTTCACAGAGATGATTAAGGAGAGGGAGTGAATTTACACAGGGTAATTTACAGAATAATTGGGGTTCCCAAGGACTAGCAATTCTTCCCATGACCACAGGAAAAGGTTAACAAGAATTCAGCTGACACAAAACTGGATATAACAGCTAATACCCTAGAAACGGAAACAAAATTTAACACGAATGCCCTGCAGGATGGGTGATTCCTGGTGTGGTAATAATATAGGTAAAAAGAATCTGTCATACATTTTGTGGAAGTTAGCAGTTTGGAAATGTCTTTTTAAAAAGCAGCTTCAATAGAAGCATTTTTACAAATGGAAATAATGGGCAAGCATAGTCACTGTTTTATAAACTGATATGGGGCTACACTACTGCACTTAGTTCTAAACACCAAATTCAGAAAAACTAGAAGGGGTGGGGGCAGAGAAACACAACAAGGAGAGACCAAGAAAAGTGGTTATGTTAGACTTGAGAAAGCAAAATCACTCAGGATTTTCCAAGGGTACTAAAGACAATTCTCTGTCATCACAGAGTATAGAACCTGGAATGAAGTTACATAAAGGAAGAGACTGGTTATATGCCAAGAAAATCTTCCTAATGCTAAGAGCAGCTGAGAACGTAACTTCTTCCAGAGGAAGATATGAGTTCTTCTTTACTAGCCATATTCAAAAGAAATGCAGGACAACAATCTTCGGGAGATACCCTAATCTGAATTTATGC